CCTTCACCAGAGTGTTGACTGGCAGCTGTTTCTTGAAAGATTCCTTTCTCCCCCAGAGCTTAGTTCCTTGCCAGTTTGGGTGCCCAAAGCCCTTCTCTGCCTGTTTGAGCTGGGGACAGAATCTCAGTACACCCAAGTTAGCAGAGGAGGAAGAGGAAGCTGAAAGTGAGATTGATAAAGCCCCTAGGATCTGTGATGGGCAATGGGAATGTCATGCTACTCAGAGTAACTCTCCAGTGGTGACACAGCCTTGAGCCAGAGGGGAAAGCGCACCCACACTGAGCCAGAGCATCTGCAGTGTTCCTTGCTTGGAGGTGAAAAGGGACACCTCTTGGCAAAGCCCCTGTGTGGCTGCTATTCACTGCTTTTTGGTTTTTGTTGTTGTTGTTGTTGTTGTTGTTGTTTTGGTTTTTAAGTAAGCTCTACCCCCAGCATGGGGCTCGAACTCATGACCCCAAGATCAAGAATTGCAATGCTCTATGGACTGAACCAGCCAGGCACCCCTCCCCACAGCTTTGTGAGTGGCCCTGTCTCTCCATGCCTGTACTTCTCCTGTCCTCACTGGTGTATTGTTACTTTCTTTTTTTTTTATTTTTTTTAATCTTTACACTATTTTTTTATTGGAGTTCAATTTGCCAACATATAGCATAACACCTAGTGCTCATCCCATCAAGTGCCCCCCTCAGTGCCCGTCACCAGTCACCCCCACCCCCCTCCCACCTCCCTTTCCACCAACCCTTGTTCGTTTCCCAGAGTTAGGAGTCTCTCATGTTCTGTGTCCCTTTCTGATATTTCCCACTGATATTTTCTCCTTTCCCCTTTATTCCCTTTCACTATTTTTTTATTCCCCAGATGAATGAGACCATATAATGTTGGTCCTTCTCCGATCGACTTATTTCACTCAGCATAATACCCTCCAGTTCCATCCACGTGGAAGCAAATGGTGGGTATTTGTCATTTCTAATGGCTGAGTAATATTCCATTGTATACATAGACCACATCTTCTTTATCCATTCATCTTTCGAAAGGACACCGAGGCTCCTTCCACAGTTTGGCTATTGTTTCTTGTCTTCTCCTCCCTCCCTTGCCATGGGCTCAGGGGCTGCTTTCATCTGTTCTCCGATGCTTTCCTAACCAGCACTCACTGGAGGGATGAATGGCCTCCTTTCCTCCTGAGGGGCATTAGTGCCCATCGTCAGTCTCCCCTGCTGGTCTGGGTGGCTTTCATCTCCCAATGGAATCTTATGAGCCGTACTTACATTACAGTGGGTCCCGAGCCTTCACTGGGCTAGCACAGAGTAGATTTAAATTAAATTAGTTAATAGCAAAAATATTTTGTTGCCCCAGGCCTGTTGTTTTTTTTTTTAATTTATTTTTTTATTTATTTATGATAGTCACAGAGAGAGAGAGAGGCAGAGACATAGGCAGAGGGAGAAGCAGGCTCCATGCACCGGGAGCCCGACGTGGGATTCAATCCCGGGTCTCCAGGATCGCGCCCTGGGCCAAAGGCAGGCGCTAAACCGCTGTGCCACCCAGGGATCCCCCTGTTTGTTTGTTTTTTTCAACATCTTGGATGCTGAAGAAAAAAAATAATTAAAAAAAAACCACTTTCTTATTGCAAACTGTAAAACAAGAAAACAGTGAAGGTAGAATGCTTTTACGGAAAGGAAAATCATCGTAGGGTGAATTTTCCCCGCATTCTACAGCCATGCCTAGCCTGGTGCTTTGGAGTTTGGTCACAGGAGCCCCAAAACCAGTAATGGAGAAGTTTGTGAGGAAGGGGAAGAAAATATAACAAATCTGTCAGCTTTGTTTCCTTCTATTAAGATGTCTGTCATTAGTGATGGGAAATTAAATGATCATACCAGCCCGAGAAAAAAAAATGCCATCGTTTGGCAGTTTAAGGGAGTAATTTATACTGGACCTTTTGAGAAAGTGGCTAAATTTGGCCGGGTTGCCAACCGACTAATAGAGAAGCTAATTAGGTGCCCTATCTGGGAGCTAGATGCCAAAACAGCAATGTGGCATATCTGGAGCGGGATCTAGAGCACATTTTCTGGTTCATTCAGTTGTTCTGCTCTCAAGTAGCCAGGTATCCAGCAACCACATTTACAAATCCCCAGCCTGCATTTCTGGTCTGTACTGTGGCTTCCCAACAACTTCACTGGGCTGAGACGTGTGGGCAGACGATGCCCGGACACCTGCGGCATGCGCCTTTTCAGAACCTGCATTGCTGGCTGGGGGTTCCTATTGGGAGGAATGGCCCAGGTTTGATTGGGCCTTGCAGTCTGGACTCAAAACACCCGCTGCACCTCACTAGCTGTGTGACCTAGCCATCTTCTCAACCTCTGGAAGTCACCATCTCCTCTTCTATAAAATGAAAACAAGGAGAGTACACCCACTTCAGTTATGCTGCTGAATTTTATATGTTGGTCATATAAAATATTCCGTGTTAAAAATTCTACAAAGAAAAGCAAAGAAAATGTGCAGCCAAAAAAGGCCAATATACCCCCAGCCTGGGGGCATGACCTCTGAGTGGCCAGTGTGACTGAGGAATCTGGCCCCAGGACAGGTGCTCAGGCTACTAAAGTGGCTGAATCTGGGCTTGTCCCAGGGGACTCCTGGGGCTAGTGATGAGCTGTTGAGGTAGGAGCACACCCAGAACTAGGGGATGGCAGCACACCAGCAAGCAGCAAGCCTGGCATCCCTGCTGTGACAGCACTAATGTGTAGGGCAGGGCTTGTTAGAAGCATTGTAAAATAAAATAGTAGGGGCTGCAGAAAGAATTCTCCAGAAATTCTTTCTTTTGTAAATTTCCCATGAAATGGCACTTGCCTGGGTGGTTTTATTTAGCAAGGGGTCTGGGTGGGTAGGAAGCAGCCTCCACGCACAGGGGCCGACCCAGTTTGCTTGGCTGTGTTTTGTAGCCATAATTTCACCCCACTGATCACCACCCACCATCTTGCCAAATTATCATTACTACTGTTTAAAAAAAAAAAAAAAGCATTGCTCATTTTAGAAAGCTGTCTGTCAGAAATGCTTAAAATAAAACCAGTCTGCGCTTGAAAGGATAAGTACCACTTATCTTGAAAGTCACTTGGGTAACAATTTCTCAGCAATGTTGGATACACGACCTGTAGCTATATTTTCAAGAAAGTGAGTACAAATGTCCCTGGTATGTGGCCTTTCGTGAGTGGACATTTTTAAGTTTTTTTCTTTATTCAACAAATATGTATTGAGCACCTGCTAGATGCCAGGTGATGTTCTAGGCCTTGAGAGGATGTAACATCAACGAGATGGGCATGATGCCTGTCCCCACAGAGCTAATCATCTTGTGGGTTCTCCAGCCACCAGGCAGGCCATGGAAGTCCAGCAGGGAAAGAGTACTCATCTGGCATCGGGAGGAGCAGAGGGGAGATGAGAGGCAAAGCTGTAGCCTGGCTGGAAGGGAGGTGCACCACATGTGTGGCCATTTATTTAGGGCAGGTGAGGCTCAGGTTCTGTAAGTTAGGGAGCCTGTACCCTCACGCTTTGGGGTGTGGCCTCTCTGACCTTGGCTGAACTGACATCTGGGAATCTGGTGAGTTTGCCACTCACCATGTGGAACCTGGAGCGGCCCTTCCAGTTTCCTTCCACTGGATTGCTTCCCCCCACTGCTGCTTAGGTCCATTGGCACGTCACATGGTGTCTTGTGACAGTTAGAAAACCAAGGAGCCTACACCAGGTAGACCCATGTTTGTTTACTCCTGCTCAACAAAACTGATCATTTATTTGGTAGGGTTTTTTTTTTTTTGTGGTTGTTTCATTTTGTCTTTTTTTAAGATTTATTTTTATTTATTTATGATAGAGAGAGAGAGAGGCAGAGACACAGGCAGAGGGAGAAGCAGGCTCCGTGCTGGGAGCCCAACGCGGGACTCCATCCCGGGACTCTAGGATGGCACCCTGGGCCAAACAAAGGCAGGCACGAAACCACCGAGCCACCCAGGGATTTTGGCTTTTAATCACAACATTCATAGTGACAAGAATTCCCAGTGAGGACAGTCAGCTAAACTATGATTTTGAACACAACTGTCAAATTAGGTATCATCTATTAATTTGCAGATCAATGGCAGGCATTAGCAGCTTGTGGTATCAAATTGCAGAACTACAGGGGATCTTAGATTACTCCTTTGTTTTTCAGAAGGGATGTTGAGACCCAGAGACATTAAGTAGTTGGATAGAGGTTGCTGGACAGCGCTGGGACTTAAGCCCAGTGTGCATTCTTTTTGGTCTCTGGGACCTCTAGTAGGGTCTAATGCGGTCATGCCCTCAGCCCCTACTTGGAGTTTGGGGACAGTGGGTATGACCCACCAGGATGCTGAAATAGGCCATAGCTTTTGGAGAGAAGACCACACTCTGAGTGGCAAGGCTCCTCAAGAAGAGTAATGGAAATGTGAGACTCGAAGGAAAGATCATCAGAAATTACCAGATGCTGGGTGACGGAATCATAAAATCTCTACAACTACAAATTGTGAGACAGAATGAAAATTGCAGGGACAGAAAGACCAGTTACCCTGCCAGGGACATCGGTCTGGTGTAAAGATGAAGTCGAATGTGGACAGGTGGAAAAGCTTCTCTGCATCCATGCTGTGTTCCCTGCTGTGACTTGGCTTAGAAACATTTCTGTGATCTGCCCCGACTTCCCCTCTCTGCTGGCCTCGGGCCACACCCCTCCCTCAGGGGCTATCCCCGGCCTGGGTTTCCAGTTGCTGGAACTCACACCTCTTGCCTCCAGACCTGGATACTTTGCGTCCTCTCTACCTACAACACTCCTCCTCCCTGGTCCCTGCCCCCAACTCTGCTAACTAATTTTTGTACTTGAGATTTTATTGTAGATATCCTTTTCTCCAAGAGACATTCAGAAGCAGATTGGTTTATCCTATAAAGAGAACACATTGGTTTTGTTTTCTCTGTGCTGGTTTCGGGTGGCCTCTGACTCCAGTTGCTATCCTTGGTTCCAGGTGACAGACCATGCCACCACTGCCCTGCTTCACTATCAGCTGCCACAGATGCCTGATGTCGTGGTCAGATCCTTCATGGTAAGTGGCCTTAAGAGCCGAATCTCCTTTGGAAACCTTGACTCCCTCCAGGTACGAGCCAGCAGATCAGAAGGTGGCTGCTCCATCTCTAGATCACCAGGGCCTCGTAATGGGAGATGGGCCAGCATAGAACTGAGTTCTTTAAACCGGGAAGGGATTTATGAGAAACCGTTTCCCACTTAATTAACTGGTGTCTTCTGTCATGCTGAACAAATGGTGGTTTCAGAAGTGATCTCCTAACACAGTTCCCCACATTGATTTAGTCAATAGATATTTATTGAGCTCCTTATCTATGCCAGGCCCTGTGCTTGGTGCTGAGTGGGTAGCGGTGACTAAGACAAATCTTACAGTATCCCCAAGACATGTACATTTTCAGAGTTGAAACTTGGGATGGGGAACGACCCTCCAAACAGCCATTGCACTGGTGTATGGGAGTCAGCTCCTGCCATCCTATTAAGTGCTGAGAATTTTGCAACCTGGTTATTTAAGCATGATACCTGGAAATTGAACCAGAATGTTTACACCACGAAATCAGCAAACACTACAAGTCAGGATTCCCTGCCACCCCTCAAGCCGATTCATCTGCACACCTCAGCCCAAATCTGTCACATGACCAACATTTGGCCCAAGCTGGCCCATCAGCCAGCTCCATCAGATCCTGGCAGAACTGGCAGCTGTGTGTTTCACATCATGCAGACATGGCTTCATGCTCTCACCTCAGTAGGCTCCATCTTTCACTGAGGCTAAAACTCCCTTTTCAGTTCACACTAGGAAGGCTGCCAGTTAGAGACCTACTCAGAAGACACCTGTTAGCAAGTCCAAATGAGTGTTGACAGCCAGGTGGAATAGTGCTTACCCGCTTCATCCCATCATGGTTTGCCTCAGCAAGTGAGCTTCTTAGAATACCTGCAGTTCATTTCTTGGAAGACACAAACCCGACTTATTGATCTGCTTCACGGTGCTAGGGAGGGTGAATGATCAAACCCAGGCACTCAGCTGGGGCCACACACAGAGCAGCTCTTCCTGTGTTGAGAGGACAATTCAGCTGACAGTCATTTCTGGGCAGCTAGTCTTGCTTTTTAACCTAACGTGTTGTCATGCCCGGTTTCCCTTTGGTAACTGACTTTGGGGTTGGGGGAGGATTTGAATTGGATCAGCACTGAAGGATAAATAGTTTAGCTGAGTGATCGATCCATCAACCTTCTCACATTTATTTCCAAACCCTCAAACACCTGGCCTTTAGAAGGGGGACAGTATCAATGGCCCATAGTCTGCCACCATGAAGGCAGCTGTGATGGAGATTGAAGGATTTGTATCAATACACTCGACCTACCTCTTCAAAGAACAATTTTCTCTCATCGATGTAATTCAGGACGACATTAAATGATGAGATTCATGTGCCCCTGTCACAGTGAGAAGTTGCTTAACTTGCCTATTGTTGTGGGTTGGGGTTTTTTTTGTTGGTGGGGGGGGTTGTTTTTTGTTTTGTTTTGTTTTGTTTTGTTTTGTTTTGGTATTGAATCTCCTTGAGTTTGAGAATTGAGTTATGTGAGTCTCATCCTTATGTATGATGCCTGAGAGAACTCTGCACTCTGAACCACTCAAGTGTGTATTTGCCGCTTATAATGTTATTTGGTGGCACCAGGTTGTCCCTGCCCTCCCCCAGGTGCATTGGGCCACGTTGTGACAGTGAGCAGTGACCTCTGAAATCAAATTAGAAAGAAGGCATGTTGACCTCAGTGGAGAGTTTGAACATTGTCATCAATGCAAAGTCTTCCTCCACACGTGTCCATGCCCGCCCCTCGGCCGGGGACAAGGCAAGGATCAGTGCACATATTCAGGAGCCACAGGGCACAGAAGTAAAACGTGGTTATGTGCAGCCCCGAGCCACAGGCCATGCTCCAGGGCATAGCTGCTCTTCCAGGAGCACTTCCTGCCCCTAAGAGGAGGAATTTGTATTTTAAAAACTCCCTCAGTTGGGGTGGGGGTGGGGGTGGGGGAGGGCAGTGCCAGAACTGAAAATCAGCAGCGTTATGACCTTGTGGATTCTGTATGCAGGGCTTTGTGAAATCACAGGCCACCTTTTGGGTCCCAGCCAACTTGAGTTCTCCGGCCTGGAGATCATTAGGCTTGACGGGAAGGATGACATTGGAAGCACCCAGATCCCATTTCTTTTATTTCTCTCTTCACTTCTCTTTTTAGACCTGGTTAAGAAGTTACATAAAGCTGTTCCAGGCCCCGTGCCAACGCTGCGGGAAGTTTCTACAAGATGGCCTTCCCCCGACGTGGAGGGATTTCCGAACCCTCGAAGCCTTCCATGACACCTGCCGGCAGTGACCAGCCCCAACCCCAGTCCTGCCTGCAGGCCCCACCCAGCACTTCCCAGACAAGCAGACCAATGGCTCGGACTGTCCTCACTGCCCAGATGCCAGTACCGCCACTCTGCCCCGTTTTCCTAGCAGCAAGTCGTATGTTAAGGCCAATCCTCTTGCAGAGCAGATTCCATCTTGTGTTGATGGGACACATTACACACTATAACTGGTATGTGGAAGGTAGAGAGGAACTTTATAGAACTCAGAATCAGGAAAATTTGCAGCACGTCCTTGTAAGCAGCTGGCCAGTTGATCCTCCTAGGTCTGTGTTCTAAATCATTTTCACGAGCCGTTATCATTTGAAAGAGCCCATGTTCATACATATTGTCAGGCTGGGTGTTTTGTTTTATAACTTTTTTTTTTTTTTTAATAAGCAGTAAACCTTTTATACCCCGGACAAGGCTTTGTCTCCTGTTTCTTAACGCACCTTCTACATTCAGTTGGGTGAACATGTGAGCAGATCTGGCCCTTTTGAAGAAAAAAAACCACTTAGTAATGTCTGCGTTTAAAACATTGTTCTGAGGACACATTTCCTTGCATCTTGCTTTTAGGAGAGAGGACAGTGTTGGCAAATACTCCATTTCAAAGACTTTTTTTGCAGTTTGAAAAATGGATTGTTCTTTTTGAGGAAAAAAGTGCACAGATGTTTCTTTTTGCTAAAGCAGTAACACACGTACATACCAAAAGGAAAGGAATCTGCCCATGTTACCAGCTAGAACACAGGTGAGCAGGCATGAGAGGGGTGCCTGGCTTGCTTGTACCATATTTTGTTCTAAATATTATAGTGAACAGATTCCAGCGCCGTCTGCCGAGTTCATACAGAGCTTTGACCCCAACACTGAAAGCCATAACCTGTTTATATGAAGAAGCATTGACCTGGTGAAAGTCTTGAAGGAAGGGGAAGTTTCCTAGAGCTTTCCCAGGCCAGCCTATGCTTCAGATGTTCTCTTTGCAATGAAGATGCCAGAGAGATACTGCCTTCTTGAGATGTCCAAAAGAATGGGTGGTTCCCACCTGGGTTCTAGTACCACTCAGGCCCTCCCTTCCTACCCCCACCAGGGTTAAAGGAGCTGAGGACAAAGAGGATTTAGTGAAAGGGAAAAGAAAGGATAAGACCATGCCATTCAAGGTGTGGTCCAGCACCATGGGGGCTGGTTAAAAACACAGAGCCTCAGGCCCTGCCCCAGACCAACCAAAGAAGATGCTCTGGGGGTGGGGTCCAATAGTCTGATTGTTAACAAGCCTGTGGGGGACTCTGCTATGGGCTCAAGTCTGAGAACCCCTGTTCCAGGAAATGGGCCTACTTTCAGTGCCCAGTCTGGGGAGGTGTGATGAGAGGCAGCGAAAATGAACATGTCCATACAGCCAGTGATTCCAGACTAAATACCGTGGTCGTCACATTCAAGCTGTTCTCGCTCATGAGAAGCACCATTATTTCCTGAACCATTAAGAAAGAAAAGCATGCTGCCAATTAAACCATGGCACAGGCCTTAATGAGAATCCTGTGTGACACATGAGTCGGTCACACCAGCCTTTCATGGCTCTGAAACATCTTTCATCTATTCTAAGGGGGCTGGCAATCTCTGCTGCCTGGAGTTTCATTGTTTAGTGGGGGACAGACGATCCCTGGTAACAGAACAGAACACTGCTTCACTGACTCACAGGTCTCTTCCCTCCTTTGGTCTCATAAGACACTTGTTTGTTGCTTTTTGAGAACATCCAGAATTGAGGACGTAGGATCTGTAACAACAGCTCGTGTCATTGCTGCTCATCTTTTCTAAGACATTTAAATGGCACATGGACCGGCCCCCAGGGGACTATAGTGTGCATTGTCGTGTGCAGTGATGACAGTATGAACAGGTTGGAGCACGTAGAAATGGCAAGTACGTCATGATGCCAGCTGGCTGACAGCACCCATCAGAGATGTGGAAATGGGTAGGTGGGGGGAATGATGAAATTATGGTAACAGTAGATCACCTTGTGAGAAGGCTGTTTGGATTTTTAACTGTTTGAATCCTCCTGATTGCCCCAGATGCAAGAAAGTCCCTGTTGGCACCAGGGGTCTAATCCGTTGCCAACCTCCGCATTCAGGAGAGAGAGCGAGCCGGCCTTGAGTTCAGAGCCTCGGGCAGGCAGGAGTCTCTGCTTAGTGACATTGTTCTCTCCATGGCATGTTTAGTGATCCCTTCCATTCGTGACAAATGGTGCTTTTTTCCCATTCACAGGAAGGCATAAAGTTTCCATTTTAAACAAATGTATTTAGGCAGAAAAGTGGGACCATTAAAGAAAAATATTAAATACCAGCACAAGTGGAGTGTGGCTATAGCAGAATGTTGGGGGGGCATGCACAGCCAGGGCCTGAATTCTGGCCCCCTGCCCACAGTATCACTGTTCCTTGGTAAAACTCTGTTCCTCTCTGTAAGGTGAAGGCTGATCGTGACCATGAGAAGGGGAAGCTGGGAGTGATTATAGATGAAAAAAGATTGGCCATGAGTGGATCATTCACTGTGGCTGGGCATTGCAGCCACATTGTGGGTGATGCATAGATACCATCCTGCTCCCTATGTTTTATGTATTTTTTCAATATGTTATATACATTTTAAAGTTTTTTTTTTCCTAATTAAAAGCGGAAGGAAAAACACAAGGACTGGGCCAGCGAGCCTTGAGCCTTTTCACTCTCTGGCATTCATGCTCTTCAGTCCTAAGTGCTGAAAGGAAACGTACCAAGGTCTAGAAAGGTGAGCAGGGCTGGAAGGGTGAATGCTTGGTGATTTAAGAGATAGACCTGAGGGAGACTGGCTTTGTGTGTGTCAACCAGTAAAATCCAGAGAACGTGTTGATCCAAAGTCAGCGAAAGTAGAGACTGGAGGTGAGTACGGACCAGTTCCAGTGTGGCAAATCACGAGGGGAGCTGGGAGCCATGCTGCCCCTGGGAGCAAGGCATTGGGCCCCAAAATTGTCCTTTGGTGCCTCTCACAGAGGGGAACGTGGCCACCACTGGGTACAGCACCCAAATGCTATTTGGCTGTCTGACGTGACCTCTAGGTCAGATTGAGGCATCGTATGTGACTTAATCATTAGCTGGCCAGCTCAGCATCTGCTCTGTGCCAGGCACTGCATCCCAAGGGGGTACATGGCGCTTCCCCTCAGCATCTAGACAAGGAATCAGGACAGGATCTCACACAGCGGTACGCCAGGGGCTGCATGTCAGACTGACCAGGTCATCGGGCCCTGTGGGCGAAGCCTCCTCTGCAGAGGCAGCGGCCCCGTCCCTGCCCTGCTGAGGTGTGTCACCCGAGAAGTGCTCTTGGCCCAAGCCTGGAAAGCTCTGTGTGGCAGGTGCTTCAGCAGCGCCATGCTTACCTGTACTTCCTGCCGGCCAGGCCACGGCTGGGGAATGCGGCTGTCGTTAGGAAGAGGCAGAGTGTGATGAGGACGTCTGTTCAGGGTTGTCCAGATTTTTTTTCCTGAACTAAATTAGGAAGTGGCCTTTTGGTATCGAGTGATATTTTTCTACTTCACACCCCTGACGAGAGCTGCCGGCACAAAACGATGAACTTTCGGTGTTAATGTGCAGACTTGCCGTTGCGTCCAGGCTGTCAGAGTGTGGGCCTGATGCTAAATCGAGAGCCTTGTCGGGTCACCCTAGGTGGGAAGAGAAGGATTCTCACAAGATCTGGAACCTGGAGAGCTTGACGGGAGGCATCATCAGGCCATCGAGTCCCTGGGAGAGAGGACAAAGTAGGGTGCCTCCCAGCTGCTGCATCTCCGCTGGCACAATCTCTGTGGAGGGTGATCTTGGTGAACTTTAATTGTCCTGCATTTGACAGGAAAGGGTAGGCCAATTGCACAGCACCTGCTCGGAGCTTGCTCAAGCCTGCGCGATAATGTGCATCCAGGATAAGTCCTTGTAGTCCATCTGTGTCTGCTGGGGGAATAATTAGGCTTCACTTTCTAGGACAGGCGGGCTTCCTTCCCCCATCTCTGCCATCCTTCGCCCGCTCTCATCCCCACCCCAGCTCCTCCAGTTAGTGGGAAAGAACCTCAAAAAAATCACTTTCAAGTTGAATTTTAAATTGCAGGTTGGCTGCTCCCTGTCATTATCTCCCTAGTGCTTGAGGAGATAAACCGCAAGGTTCACGAGCATATCCAGGTAAAGCACCACCTCGGCAGCTTTAAGATGATAAGTTACTCAAGAACAGCTCCATTCTGTCTCTGTGCTAATTGAGTTTGAAATTTGCACTGGAGATTGGCTGTCCTCCGGGACCACACGAGCTCTGGCTTGGTGCTGGCTGAGCAGGCGGTCCTGCCAGCAGCGGGCTTCGTTGGCACCGTGTTTGCCCAAGTCCCACAGAGGCAAACAGTCACTTGTCTCTCGGGAGGGAAGGGAGGAATGACGGAGGAGGGGGGACAGTGAGAGGGGCCAGCCGTGAGCTGGGGAGCCAGCCTGGGACGCCAGCGAGCCTTGTCAGCCTCTGCACGTGGGGCAGGTTGTTACTTAACTGTGCCGCTCCACTTCTCTGATTCCCAGCTCTCCTCTCCCTCATCAGCTGGCTTTCTTAATTACTATAGGAGTACATGCGTTCCTTTTATAGAAAATTAGATAATGTGGATGAGCAAAGGAAAAAAAAATATCCCTAATTCCCACTAGCAGAAGATCATTACCAGAGCACTTTGCTGCCTTTCTTCCCAGACCCTCCTATGGACATGTTTGTGTGTGTCTTTTTTTTTTTTTTTTTTGCCAAAACTGTGAGCACACTTTGTACTGTTTTCAAACCTGCTTTTTTTTTTTTTTCCATTTAGCAAAGGCTAAGTTGCTATAGCACAGATTCCCCAAAACACAGTGATGTAAAGAAGGCAGACACTTACTTCTCTTACGCTGCAGAGCTCAGGAGGGGCTGGTTCAGATCAGAGGGCTGCTCGGCTCCATGCAGTGTCTCAAGGATACTGTTCCTGCTCCCCTGCCACCACCTGACCTAGGACATGGTCTGCATCGTGGAAGCTGGGCCGCGGGCGCCTTTCAGGTTCATTAAAAGGGAAGGACACACAGGAACACGTGCCTGGTGTTCTACGACCCAAACCGAGCACTGGCATATGTTAGGGCCACTTGACTTTTTAGCAAGAACTGAGTCACGTGGCCGACCTGGCTGCCAGGGCCCCTGGGAAATGCATTCCCTAAGTGTGGACAGCTGCGGGTCCAGCAGAAGAGAACAGAGCCTGTTCCAACGGACCGCCAGCAGCCTCTGCAAGCTGGCCCAAACCTGCCCCCCACCTCCAGAGTGGGCAGCAGTGACCTTGCCCTCGGGGCTTTGCTTTGTTTTGTGTTATGATCTCCCTCCGCTGTGTGGCCACTGTAGTGTAGACAATGAATCCCTCTCTGGGCTTCTTAAG